GGCACTTCCAGCAGAAATCAAATCCGGTGTTCCGGGGTTAAAACTCTTTTACTGAAAAATCTTCGACAGATTCTATTTTCTTCCACTCAGCAGCACGCACGAGGCTAATTAAAAACGAACACTATTCCACTCCAGGCCTTATAAAGGCGCATCTAATATCGCGGGTTTTACAGTTTCAGAGGATAAACTCGGTCGTTCTACGTGCGCTGGAGACTATCAGGGCGCAGCGCTCCGAAAGATTGAGGCTCTTGGATTATGATACACCCGGATCCTTAGTAACGCCGGGCACACTTATGTCGCGGCCGTAATGCTAGGTTGGGGTTGTTGGTCGTCGCAAACCACCATTACTGAGCATTTTTGCCAAGAACGAGAAAGGCGCCATGTTCAGCACCTTCGGCCATGGCCTGTAGGTCGCTCTTTAGGAGCTCGAGCACGATTTCACGATCTGCCGGCTTATACCTATACGCAACTTTTAGATCATCGGCATGCATTAAGGGCGTACCATTCTGAAATAATTCGGGTACCTCGTTTTCAAACAGGCATGAGAGGCAAGTAAGGTTAATAGGCCTGAAGCTGATTGCTCCCATCCTGTTATCCCTCTTATGTAAATTAAAGATATGTGCTGCCTTCCATTGTAAGGACAGACTTCCCCTTCTCATTGATAACCCTAAGAGGGTTGAGAGAGGCCTGGCCGGCTCCGTTGTTAGTTCCTTAAGTGTCAGCCCAGTAATCTCGTCGGGTCCAAGAGACTTGACCGACTTAATATTATTGAGGATATGTATTACTTATTCGACGGAAAAGGCAACGGGAGTATCCTGGCCCATTTCTAACTTTTGGTTGCCTTCAGAGGAATTCACCGTAGAAACCGATTAAAAAACTGAGACAGGAACTGCACTTTCTGTGGCTCCTCAACGAATATGTTTTCGAGGTTTTCCTCTAGACTTGCACTTTGGTCTGTATGTTTTCGCCTACCGCACGTGTATCCATAGAAATTAATGGATGTACATGGGATTCTGTTACTAGTCAATGTTCGAAAGACGTTCTCACCATCCAAATTTTTGGCGGTATTAGTCACGCGGATTCTTATATTCGGCCGATGTTATGGGTTCTTGAAGATATAAGTGCGTTTCCCACAGCTTCTGTTTCTTCGGGATATTTTTTCATCGTCGAAGTGACCTCTTGAGGTCGAGCGCATTGTCTCGTTCTTTTCACAGTGCAGTGGGATTTAATTAGACCCTCTGTAATCCCCGAAAATACAGCCAGAAGTTTTCTGAATTTTCCATGTTGACTGGCCAGGATTCCTCCAGGACAGTGCGTCCCATTACGTTAAACTCACCAGTTCAAATATTTCTGCGCCTCTTAATTTGTTGCTGTGATTTCGATAGGAGAGAGCACGCGCAGGTAAAAGCACTATGGTCCCTTAAACTGATTAGAAGTTGTGAATTCACTTCTCCTATGAATTCTTCTTCTATAGGGAAAACGAGATTTAAACCGTTCGATTGCTCTCTTCTTTTCTCGGGCTTGTCCCGAACTTTAAGTGTTGAATGAGGTATTCGTCTAGAGAAAATCGTAGTAGCTTTTGGTCGAATGACGTGGACGGGGCGTTTCTATGGAATTTTTCAGCCTGTTACTGGAGCGTTGAAGTAGCCCAAATGTAGTCAGTTCGCCTGCTTACATAACCCCCCAGTGAATCAAATAATTCCATGTTGGCTCTTTCATTTAAGCTAGGAGGCCGATAGACAACTCTCAATCTGAGTATCAGTTATTAATTGATATTAATCTTGCATGAAGTTGCCTCAAAAGCTTGTGGTGATACACGGGATATTTCTCGCTGACAACACGAAATTACATATGACATACAAATCGCTACGCCTCCCCTCAACGTTGAAGTATATCACAGATAAACACTTGGTAGACTTCAATACTGACTTGATTTCTATTTAATTCCTCAGTTTATTTGTTCTCTGTCAATATAACTACATGTGGTTTCTGTTTAGAGACCAGTAATTTAAGTTAATCTAGTTTTTTTGAAGAAATTACAAAGGTTAGTTTGTTAGATTTCCAGATGGCAACCACTGGTACTCATAGAAGTCTTAAAAGCAAGCATCTTTATGTTATTTAGGTTATTAGAATGACTAATTTCCGTCAAAGAAATGTTCTTTTGACTTGAGCCAAGCGTCAGTGCCTTGTTTTGAAGTGTGCCTTACCGTTGCTTCTTCGCTCATCCCGTTTCGTTATCAGCTGTCTCATTTCCATGCGTTATTTCGGCTCTTTGTTTGACTGAAAAACTTCGAAATGCAGATTTCGCACAAACGGACCTGTGCCTGTGCTTCGTTTTTTAAAAACGATTCTTAGGGGTCGTGATCGAGAATATGAACCGGGCGCTTGCCAAGCCTATCCTGTTCTATATGCTTTGAGAATGTTATCTGACTCGCCGTCCCCTAGCAAAGCTTAATCATACCCTTTAGTAAGGTTTAAGACATGCCCAACCCTCTCTGTTGGAATCGTTAACGCTGATACCACAACTTCTTTTACAAGTACATTTTGCTTGCCAGTTAACCTTGCGCCTGATGTTGTCTCACATCTTTCTACTCACCGAGCGTTTGTTTCCCGCCCCTTGAGGAAGTTTCACACGGTGTCCTTGTAGCGTCGTTTTTGCCATGTTAGCACTCATAGTAATGTCTCCGTAGAACATTCGTTTAGATAGACGCCCATCGTCCAGCTTCTAGATATGGCCGCACCAGTGCATATGTAGTTGCCTCGGCGTAACCTGGATCATGACAACCCTAGTTCTTTCCTGGACTTCCTCGTCTGGGGTCTTGTCCTGCCATCTTAGCGTTAGTATTCTTCCGGAGGCTGTTGAGATGCAAATGGTTCAATTTCCTGGCATGGTGCACGTAGACAATCCATGCGTCTACCTCGTAAAATATGGTAGTTAGGTTTACAACACAAACGAACGATGCGTCCAGTTCTAAACAGAGACCCAAATAAATTGACAACTGGTGACTAGCCGATACCCACATTTAGATAACTCGAAAATAATTTCAGCTTCATGCGGCATCAAATTTCTTCAAGTTCCACGAAAGAGCGAAGCATTCGTGACCCAAAAACTACCAAACTCAAAACTTAAATTCATATATCGTATATCTCGTTCTTTTTTCTAACTTTCACTGTTGTTTTGCCCTGAAATTCAGGTCCTTTTTAACTCGAGACAAGCTCTCAATTTGCGTTCTTTTGACTAGGCGGAAATCCAAAACAAATGTAGTCAAAGTGCAGTCAAGACAGATGAGTTTGGTTT